CTATTATCCGTTTTACTTGTCATCTTTTCCTCTCGCGCTTTTTACATAATTACGTAATTCTTTCTTTAATGGATTCCATCTACAATGAAATGCAACGATCACATGATAAGAATTGTCAGTCAGTCTTGCTTCTCTATACAATTACTACAAACTAAGGCTTTGTTTAAAGAGTTCGTCTTCTTGCCTACATTACATTTCTTCATTCAACAAACCACTCATTCCGGGTAGCAGGTGGTCGATTGATTGTATAACAACTTACTAGCTTTATTACAAATAAGTTATTCATGTAAATTATATTATCTGTCTCTATATTAGTAGTTCAACCTACATAGCATTGTAAATGTTTGCATACTCTATTGGAAATCTTGATTCTTTTATAAAAATTCAGGTAACTTGATATACGAATTCATATATTATCCGTGTTGAGATTTTCAGGGCAAATCAGTTTTATTTGTCAAGTTTTATCGAGTGAATCATTTTTTTCTGAACTCCAGTCTTCAGATGTTTTTGTTTGCAAACGCAAGTAAAAATTAAAAACATTATCAATAATGATGATTTAGGCTTTTTCTTTTAAAACTTTTTATCAATAAAAATAAATATATTTTTGTTGTATGTGACGATGTCCTACATAAATTATTTCCAAACTGGAAAACAAATAAAAACAAATCAAGAAACATTCAAAACTCGTGTATAATATATAATAATAGAAGACACGGTAGAATAATGGACATCAGCTCGGAGTGAGTAATCGCAGAGCCGAGTTCGAATACTTCTTCTCCCCCAGCTATGGGTAAATAGCAGGACAGTGAGTCCGTCGTTCACTTTTGAACAGACTGCTCGGTTAAACTCTCTTCCTACGGGCGGGAGGAACCCGAAGGAGGCTACGCCGAAGGGTGGAGTCCCCTTCGGGGAGGTAAAACCGGCCCTGAACCCGTTTATACGGGTTCAAATAGGCTATTTTTTGGCCGGGCCTAATGGCTCGAGAATGCTCCCGTTAAAAAGGCCTTGTGCCACATGACACCCTCGTGGGGGTGGGTGACTCAATATCGTAAATAGCAGGACAGACTGGGTTCTATAACATTGGATGACAACTGGTCTACCGTTGAAAAAAATGGCAAACTACTACGGGAAAAAAATCTGCCTCGTCAGTCATGTATCGATAGATACCTGATCGCCTAAGCGTGTAGCACGCATGGCACATAACAGATTGTATAATATAATAACAACAGATCAAGAGCTATCTCTCAATCTAGCTATCTGTCTTGCTAATGAATATTCACACTTTAATAAATATAATCTAATGTTGCCAGAAATATGTTTATTATTACATATACGTTTGTCATAGATGTCTTTTGTTAGATTGTGAACAATGTGATAAAGCGTAAATAGTTTTTTTTTTTTTTTTTTTTTTTGGAAAAGTACAACTATATGACAATTGAGATTTGCAACTGGGATCCACCATATCACGCACAAAAGAATGAATCATTCTCATTCCCTTCGTATTCGTTTAATTAAAAATAAATTCCACTCGGAGAGCTTTTTCCCAATAATTGTTGCTTGCGTAAAGATTCTACCGGGATAGTTTTCCGGTCACTATAATCTTCATATCTAAGGATATCTCTCACTTTTCGTTTACAATCACAATAAATGAACTTTAGCCTTTCCTTACGACCATACAACATCAGCCAATAAAATTCTACCTTGAGTTGCTCTTTGGCGTCGTATTTGATGAAGATTAGTATTAAAAATATTTACGGGATAATATAGCCTAAATATTTAGCACAATTCATTTATTCTTCTTGCAAAAACTATGAAATATAAATTTTCTGGTATTTGGGTATAAGGAAACACATTAGCACCAGCACAATAATGTTTCAGATACTTTTATATAAAGCATACAATTATTTTAATATTTCATAAGGATTATTAAATGAACGGTGAAAATAAAATACGATATTATTTATTCTTCTCAAGATTATTGTCTTGTTCTCATCATTTTTTTCACAACGTCTCGGTCGTTCTACCATCCTAAAAGACGTGTCGACCTGACTAATCTTCGAGAATTTCAAACTGAACCATTTATTCTGTTGATGAGCGTAGATTTCTTTATTTCCGCTCATCATATGTAGGGATCTCTTGTCTCGTTGATTATTCTACTGTGCAATTACTAGTGAGTCTAAATCTGCTTTAATCTACCCAGGGCGTAACCTCATTTAATAAGACACAAAATCCACGGACCAATGCTTTAATCCACACTTCATGTAGAAATAATGATGTACGAAAGGAATTAACTCTATGTGGAGGGACAGGAAGAACATTAAAAATGGGATCCCGATATATTCATTTTCACGATATGTAAGACATCGACACAGAACATAGAATGCCATATGTTTAATTACATAAATTCCATATAGTGAGAGATTAATTCCATTTTAAATACGTCGTATAATAAACACAATTTCTTGATTTTGTCGCTATTAAAGTAAATAATTACGATTCTCTACACAGAAAACTAGAATCTTCTACACGAATGACAATCCTCATTGTCTGCCTACTCTGTGTAACAAATTCAAGAATCTGCTAGATTAAATTATTTTCTTAATATTTTCTCCCCAACATGCTGCTTATTTGGTGTTGCACACTAATTGTATTTTTAATAATTTTCTCTTGGTTACAATTGTTGCGTTTACCGTTTATTAAACACGGAATTTGAAAAGGGACAATGTTTATTTGAACAGGGAAACGTTGAAAATTTAATGACTATTGCAGACAAATATTGTATTCAGTACCAATGAGTACATTAAATATTGAGTGTCCCACTAAAGAATTCTCTGTAAATATATAGAACTAGAATAATAAAATATGATCCCTTTGGCAGATGAGATATTTAATTCGATGGGATATTCAATTGATTATTTGATTGGCTTGTTGCAACTTATCAACATTTTATGTGGTCTTAAATGCCGTAATATAAGTTGTTTTATTAGATTAATTATTTTTGACGAGTGAATATTGCATTAACATATTTTGAGAAGAAAGAAAAATTCCAGAGAAAATTCCTACTATTTAACACATAGCGGGGGAAAGAGTTATATTTATACCTATCTTGAGGGCTAATGCGCATAAGTGATTTTAAACGAACCCGTCTACCCGAGATTTCATACCGAGCCGATGGCCAATAAAACACCCACACACCCCTGATTGTATCGTGCAGCATAGATCAAAAGCAAAAGATTCTCAAATTAAATAGTATGTCATTGTTAAAATGATTGGCGAAATACAATGTATTAGTTCTATGATTTCTATGACTACGGCAAACAAAATCAATATGTGCAATTCAAATGAAAACCCTCCGGCTATTTGCACAGATATATGTAATGTAAACGAATTTAATATTACACTCTCATTAATTTCTTAAAGTAGTTTGGCCCGGGAAAAGATCCCAATCGTGTGAAACTCGGGCGAATCGGAATCAAAATCCAAGCAAATTGTTGTTTTAGCTTTTTATACAAAGACATCAGGATGCGGCCCGGCAAACTGATTATGCAAGAGAAAACAAACTGATAACGTTAAAAATAAATCAGCTTATTAATTTAATTGCATTCGTGGCACGTTAGAAAGTAAAGATAAATTTAAGACGCAAACGTTTTATGAGGACCTTTTAAAAAATTCATTTTGAAACAAACTACCAAATATAAAATAATAGAAAAATAGCGCCTCCGAGCTCGTTCTGTTATTAAAATAATGAAAATCAATCGAAGAAAAGAAAATAGAAAAATGTTGATTTCATTTGCTTGAAGCTCGGGGTTTTAATGATAGAAATATGAGTAAAGAAATAGAAAATAAATTCTAGAAAGAATGGGATTGAAAAATAAATGGGAATTTAAAAAACGAGGCTAAGGTAAAAGCATAATTAATCAACGTTAAAATAAAAATGAAAAACAAATCTAATAATGTAATAACGGATTAAAAGATTAAATGCAATAAAAATTAAACGATGACAGAAAGCAGAAATTGAAAAGTTGCTGACAGCGGTGGTAAAATACGAGCGAGTGTTATATACAAATTGAAATTACATTCAGAAAAGCAAGAGACAAGAGACTGTGAGAAGAATCTGAGAAAATCATTCATATTATCAAACCATCGAATGGGGAAAAAACAGGAGAAAGTCGACACGGAAATGTACGGTAGGCTTTGCACGATAGGAAGGCGACAAGAAATGAAAATAAGATGGAAATTGGTTCGAGGAGATAGTGAAACAAAAGTAAATAAAAATATATCAATGTGAACACAGGAGGGAAAAAAACCCTTGGATTAAAGGAAGAATCCTGGCGACACGGAAACGAGAAGAATATTCCGAAGAATCAAATATATAAAGTTAATACATACATACTGAATAAATAAATATGAAAATAAAGTTAATTTCTATTTAATGACTGATTCATATAGTGCAAACTCATAGAATTTTCTAATACTTCTTAAACTTACCGTATAACATGCAATTTAATAACGATTACTTGACATACATAATATATATATATTTTCAGTATACTAATATTAATATGAATTTATTACGGCAAACCATTTGGGTACTGGAACATTACAATTATTACGGCACACCATTGGGATGCTGGGTACATTACAATTATTAACGCACACCATTGAGGTGTTGGGTATATTACAATTATTACGGCACGCCATTGGGATACTGGGAACATTACAGTTATTATGGCACATCATTGGTGTGCTGAGTACATTACAATTATTACGGCACACCATTGGGATGCTGGGTACATGACAATTATTACTTCACAACATTGAGGTACTGGGTACATTACAATTATTATGGCACACCATTTGTGTGCTGAGTACATTACAGTTATTACGGCACACCATTGGGAGGCTGGGTACATTACAATTATTACTTCACACCAATAATGTACTGGGTACATTACAATTATTATGGGTGCTAATTATTATTGGGGTGCTAAGTACATTAC